CCAGGGATGAAGTGGACAGAAATCACGCCATGGGAACAGTGTCACTTCATACTGTTCCTTCCAGAGTTGAAACCTCCATTCAGTCCCCACATCAGAAAGCAGAAAATTCCAGCTGGCTCAGCAATACTCAAATGTTGTCATCGTAAATTAATAAAAGGCTATAAACTCCCTGATGGAAGGGACATAAAAGACGTGACAATCAAATACACAAATTTCTGCTCTGGAACCTTTCTGCTTGTGTAAACGAAATGTCAAAGCTGTCAAGTTCAAAATGGTGTTGTCTGTGTCAACCTTAACAACAACAGAAGGAAATCAAGCTGGAAGTGTATGGGTTGGGAGGATGGCTCCGAGGGTAAATACAAGCAGGAAGACCCTGAGTTCAGATCCTCAGCAGGGCTTGGCCGTCCACATCTGCCATCCCTGCATCAGGGAGGTAGAAACGGGGATCCTTGCTGCTCAGCCTCCCTGAATCGGTGAGCTCCAGACTCAGTGAGAGAGCCTGCCCCAAAGTAGGACAGAGAGTGATTGAGACAGGCAACTGACATGGACCTGGGGCACATATGCTCACGTATGCACATGTGCGCGCGCACACACACACACACACACACACACACAGGGTTTATGAACAAAAGGTTATTTATAACACCTTCTTCTATCGGTAGAAGCCTTGCCAAGGAAATGCCTGTTTAGCCTTAGACTGTCAGTGCTCTGGTAACCAAACCGTCCGGTGTAATCCTCCTCATATTATGCTTACAAATGTCCTCCAGCTTTAGTTTCCTGGAATATGACGTAATTCCTAAGGTGCACGTAGTCCTACAATAATGCTCAGATGGTCGCTAGTAAATACCACTACTGTTTTTCTATGTATGTATATGTGTACATATGTTCTGCATGCGTGTTCAAATATTGTATATGAGGAAAGCCGGGTGGTGGTGGCGCACGCCTTTAATCCCAGCACTTGGGAGGCAGAGGCAGGCGGATCTCTGTGAGTTCGAGACCAGCCTGGTCTATAAGAGCTAGTTCCAGGACAGGCTCCAAAACCACAGAGAAACCCTGTCTCGAAAAACCAAAAAAAAAAAAAAAATATATATATATATATATATATATATATATATATATATATATTGTATATGTGGGGGTGCTCGTGTGTGTGTGTGTGTGTTTCCATGTGCATATATGTGTGCAGACGTCAGTCTGAGCTGTCTTTCTCAGATGTCATCCACTTTTTAAAATTGTATTACTATTATTTGTGTGTATGATGTCTGTGTGGGGGTTAGAGGACAATTCTACAGTGTCGAGGTCTCTCACTCTAGAGGTTAAACTCAGGTCACCCCACTCTCATAGCAGAGCCTCACCCACTGAGCCATCCTTCGCTTTCTTTCTTTCTTTCTTTCTTTCTTTCTTTCTTTTTAAGACAGGGTCTCTCATTGAACCTCACCAAGGATACTGGGTGGTCGGCCAGCAAATCCCCAGAATCTGCCTCTGCTGCCCAGCGCTGGAATTACCAGCACACATGATCACTCTCTGCTCTCTACAAACCTGGTTCTGGAGATTCGGTTCCGGCCGCATGTTGGTGTGACAAGCACTTCATCAAGAGAGCCACCTTTCTAACCCATATCAAATTCTCTGATTCTCATTAAAAGGACATCACAGGAAGATCAGGAGAACTTGAACGATTGGTCATGATAGTCAACACAAATGCCCAGGTTTTGACACCTGTATCGTGGTGACATCGAAGGCGTTCTTGCTGAAAATGTTTGTCTCCATATTTGAAAGTGATGGGGTCCTGACACAAGGTTTTCCCAGATGGTTCTGAAAAAAAAAATCAAAATTTCTACTTTCAAGCTTTTCCGTGAAAGTGTGAGGTCATTGCTAAATGAGTCAGGCAGTGGGGCTGGAGAGATGCCTGCTTTCCCAAAGGACCAGGGTTCGATTCCCAGCACCCACATGACCGCTCACAGACACCTGTAGCTCAGTTCCAGGGGATCTGACACCTTCTTCTGGCCTCTACAGGCACTACACATATGTGGTACCCATACACACATGCAGGCAAAACATTCATATACATAAACTAAAAATAAATTTTAGGAATTTTAGGAAGAATTTTAGGAAGCAGGTGCTGGAGAGATTAAGAACACTGGCTGCTCTTCCAGAGGGCCCAGGTTCAATTCCCAACATCTACATGGCAGCTCACAACTGTCTGTAATTCCAGGGGATCTGACACCCTCATTCAGGCAAAACAGCAATGCATATACAAAAATGTTAGGAAGAAAACCCTTCTCTTCTCTCTACTGTGCACTTGTTTTTTGTTTGTTTCTTTGGTGTGTGTGTGTGTGTGTGTGTGTGTGTGTGTGCGCGCGCGCACTTGTGCGTATGTTCTTATGTTTATTGTAATAGATAATTGTCCCCCAATCATTTAATCAAACTGACACTTCAAAGGGTACAGCAAGTTATCCTGTGGCTTTGTTTGCTTCCTGGCTCATGTCCACGTAATCTCAAGGATTCATAGCTCTTGAGGATCCAAATCAAATCAAGGGCTTGTCAACTGAGAGAGAGAAAGAGAGATAAAGAGAGAAAGAGAGAGGGAGGAGAAGGAGGAAGAGGAGGAGGAGAATGAGGAGGAGGAGGAGGAGGAGGAGGAGGAGGAGAAGGAGAAGAAGAAGAAGAAGAAGAAGAAGAAGAAGAAGAAGAAGAAGAAGAAGAAGAAAGAAGAAGAAGAAAGAAGAAAGAAGGTAGAAGTCTAAACACACTCACTTCCTAAGGAAATCGTTTAAACTCAGGGAGAGGAGGGAGATGAGAACCATGAATGAGGGCATAGAGCTGGACGCTGCAGGGCAGGCCTCTCATCCTCAGACACGGGGAAGCCTGAGGTAAGAATCTGAGTTTGAGAGTTCAAGGTCAGCACAGTGAGACCTTGTCAGAAACAGAACGCTTCACCAAACAATGATGAAAAGAGCAGCAGAGGGATTGAAGGGGAGTCAGGGAAACTGGGCTGACACAGTCAACCTTCACTTCTGTGAGTCTGGCCTCCTTCCAGCCCTGACCTCTGACATCACTGAGCAAGCATTTGTAGCAGTTGCTTCACACCTGCTGGCCCCAGAACATTCCATTCTGAGGCCCTTTGCCAGGAGCAGTGCATTCTCTGGCAAAGGGTGAAGCTCCAGGGAGACCCCGCTGGGTCCTGGCTAGGAGTTCAAACCAGCAATTATCAGGCTTCACTGCCTCCCTCTACCAGCCTTTCATCTCCTATCTGCTACACCTCCATCCTCTCCCCATCAGGCCTCGGCCTCAGGGCTGCCTGGTGCCACCCTGGAGGAGGTCCTCAGATGGAGTGACCGGGCCCACCCAATGGGACTTACAAGTCAGGCCAGAAACGACATCTCAGCTCTTAGCTTGTGCATTCGGAGCCCCAGTCCCGCTCTATCTCCAAGGCAGAGGGGATCCTCTGTTCGTACTGGCTTTACTGTGGCCTTCTCTGTCTCTGGCTGCTGTCTGTACTGAGTCTAAGTATCTTGGAGAAGTGTCTGTCTGGGATGAGTGCCACCTTATAGTTAGTCCTGGAGACCTCAGGAACCATTGCCTTACAATCGTCTGTGGACCTGCTGGAAACTGGCAAGGTCCACTTGTGCCTAATGGTCACTGTGTGCTTCTGGAGTCCACTCACTCAAGCTGTGGTCACATTTAGGGAAATGAAGCCCCCTGGAGATAAAATGGTACTAAAGCCAGGTCCCCATGACTGAGAGTGGCTGAGAGTGCCGTCCCTCCCTCCCATCGGCCTGTTGAGTGCGGATTCACTGTTCTCATTACCCAAGAAAAGCCAACTTCATCAGGATTCCACCTTGGCTGGGCAAGGCCAGGTCAGGCGAGTGAGGGGTGCAATTGACAGTCAAGGGGGTGAGCATACACTGTCTACACACCAGGGACATTGTCAATGGTCCTGCGGCCCTAAGTGGACTCTCCAAACCAACTCTCTTGACAGGCGGTGAGGTGGCCCCTTATTTTCTCCATTGAAGAACCTGTGAGGTGAAGATCTTCCAAGGTGACAGAGACAGTGAATGACAGGGCACAGCCCAGCCATCAGACTCCTTGGCACTCATCCTTTATCTAGACCTTTAAACTGCCAGGCAGAATGAAGATGCCCTGGGACACACCGTTTCCACAGTGTTATTTAGTTTCCATGGACACACCGAGGTCAAATGACCAGGTGGGTGTTATCATCCACTCTCCTGTACCCATCTGGGTGTGATGTTAATGAAAAGCATATAAGAGCTAATTATAAGAGGTAAGAAAGAAAAAAAGAAAAAGTCGGGCAGTGGTGGCGCACGCCTTTAATCCCAGCACTCAGGAGGTAGAGGCGGGCGATCTTTGTGAGTTCGAGGCCAGGCTGCTCTACAGAGTGAGTTCCAGGACAGGCTCCAAAGCTACACAGAGACACCCTGTCTCGAAAAATAAAATAAAAAAAGGAAAAAAGAAAAAAAGGTAAGGAGTATTGGTAGGCCTCTAATCCTCAGACTCAGGAGGCTGAGGCAGGAGGATTGCTGTGAGTTTGGGGCCAGCTTGGGCTATAGACTGAGACCCTCTCTCAAACAACAAATAGAAAAACAAACAATCAATAGCAACAACAACAAAACCAAAGTGTGAACTTGAAGAGGTTACACTCTCCCCCCTGCAGCCCACATCCACCTCACCACATGCTCACAGATGCCAGCAGAGTTGTGCGGCACCTGCCCAGATCCCACATTCACAATGCAACACCATGGGCAGGAACAGACTCTGCACTGCCTGCAGAAATGGCTCTTCTGTAAAACCACTGAATTCTCATTTCTAGAGTAAACTGGAGTGAGGGCCTTTGACCCACTGACCACATGCAAACAGACAGCCTGCAACCAAAAGTTGTCCTTGGGAACAGTGGGAGCGGAAATCACACCTGTGGCCCTGTGGTCACTGGAAAAAAACAACACTCCTTTCTCCCTTGCAATCACTTCGGGGGCGCTAGAAGACAGCACCATTCTGGCAGCTTCAGCTCCTGCAGGGCTGCACCTCCATCCTGCAGCGTGACAGACATAAGGCTTTCTGCAGGTACGAGCTGGCTAAGCAAGGAGTCCAGGGGGGTCACAGAGAGCTAAGACAGGTTCCCAGCACAGATTTATGTTTTGTAAATGTGTGTGTGTGTGTGTGTGTGTGTGTGTGTGTAGTGCTAAGGTGAGGGTGTGAATAGTGCTGTGTGTGTGTATAGTGCTAAGGTGTGTAGGGGGCTGCATCTTTGAACTATGCAGGGCAGGTGGCGCTCGTGGAGGTATAATAGTAGAAACTGTTAGCCCCATTTCCAACTTCCTTCTCCCAGCTTTCAAAGGGGGCATGGCTTTATCAGACGAAGTCAGGGAATGGTGAGCAAAGGTCACCACGAGGCTGTAAGAAGAATGCGCTAGCTATGTGCTGTATCACGCTGTGGCTTCTCCCGAAACCACATTCTTCCGATTCCTGTTGGGAGTCACTTTTTACGAGGCCAGCAGTTAGTGTTACATAGGCAGGGTAGGTCTCCCAAGCCCTTATTTTCCTACATGATGTCCCTGCGGTTCTGAAGGGCATTGTCTAAATTTGTATTTTAATATATTTTCTCTTGCTTTATTTTTTATACATTTTTTTAAAAAAATTAAAATTTCCTACAAAAAAATAAAAGTCTAAACCCTTGGACTGAATCAGTACAGGAAGGTCAGGGGTCACTGCTGAGAGGTCCTTGTGAGTAGACAAACAGTAGCCCCACAGAGAGGCCAGACCCTAGCTGGATGTATGTCTCTTGCATCACTCACGGACAGACCCTGGCCTGGTTACCAGCTCCCTAACTCCTTCTATATGCTCTGGACTTGACCTTCCTCACCAAAACTTGGCCTCCTATGTGCAAACACAAACAGAAAGGGCCACTTATCTGTGTTACCCAACCAAGGCAAACAGCTGTAGCTGGTCCCTGCCCACACCCCCAAGGTTGGGCTGTTGAGCCAAAGCTAGAACACAGGGGTAGATTTTTTTTTCTCCTTCTGTTTCCTCCTGGCAAGGCTCCTGCGTTCAAGGTTTCCGTCACCACCATAGAAACCCAAGTCTACAAGCATCTCTGAACAGTTATGAAACTGCTCATTCCTTTTCAAAGGAACCCGCACAACTGCCACCCTCCCTACATTCCAATGACACATCTTTTTAAAACAGAAAGTCCAGGCAAATCTTTCTCAGATTTCAGGATAGGCCTGTTCCCCTCTACTGTGGTTTCAGGTCAACAGACTGGTTCCTTGCAGCGGGTGGGGGGGGGGGGGTAAGGGGAGTCTCCATTCATACCACAATAGCTGAAGGCATTGATTGCCCGTCCAAGTTTTGATTGGGTCCCCTCAGCCGTGTGGCCTTGTGCAAATCCCTTAACCTCCTCCTAACCCTTGGTGTACTCATTTGTAAAATAAGGACCTGAACTACATGGTTCTTGTTATAGGATGAATGTGCCCTTTGATGTCCCTGTTCCCGGTGTGACTGTATTGAAGATGAGGCCATAAGGGTAATTAAGGTTAAAAGAGGTCATGAAGATGGGACCATAACTGAATATTGGTGTCTTTATAGGAGGAGGAAGTGGGGTTGGGGAGATGGCTCTGTCAGTAAAGTGGTGGCTGCACAAGCATGAGGACCTGAGTTCAAATCCCCAGCACCCAAGTAAAAGTCAGTCTACCACTGGTGAGGGGAGAGGGGAGGAGATAAAAGGATCCCTGGGGGGGGGGGGGAAGGATCCCTGGGGCATACTGGCTGACTTGGTGAGTTCCAGGCTCCATGACAGATGCTGTCTCTAAAAACAAGGTGTGTGCACACACGTACGGAGAAATAAATGCATTAATTAAATTAAATAAAAAGGAAGAGGAAGACACACCAGAGGCCTCCCTTCTCAGGCTGAGTAAACCCTGAACAAAGCAAAGGGGCTGCCACAGGACCCAGCCCTAGGCTCCTTGACCTTGGACTGACAGCTTTTAGAGCTACTAGGCTTGGTTTCGTGGCTCAAGCCCCCAGTGTGTGGTCCTTTATTAGATGAGCCTTGCAGACTGAGGAGTTCGACCCCTATGATTCTCTGGGAAGTGTATCTGAAAACTCCCTTCACACCCAGCCCCCTTGGAGTTAGCGATACCTCGTGCCCTGTTCCAGTACACACACTCCCACAGGGCCTCTGACAGTCCCAGCCGAGGCTCCTCTTTCTGGTGTCACCTTTGCCCGCTTGCCTCTCTCTGCCTTTACAGATCATTTACCATTCTTCACCTCACATCACCTCAGTCTGCCCTTCCACAAACGCCTCTCTGACTTAGGCTCTCTCTGTGTGTACGAGGATGTGAGGAGTCCAGAGGCAGACGCCTGGTGTCTTCTTCAATCATTCTCCACAGTGTATTTTGAGACAGTCTCTCACTGAGCCTAAAGTTCACAGATTAGCTAGACAGCTCTGGGGAACTGTATATCTCTGCACCCCCACAGCCCACCCACACCTGCACCCCCAAACACACGCCTCTAGTGCTAGGGTTTACAAACACCTTTAGTCTGGGTGCTTGGAATCTGAACTCAGGTCCTCAGGCTTGTACAGCGGGCACTTTTCCAGCTGAGCCGTCTTCCCACCCCCAACCCCTACTCTTTCTGAGACACAGTTTTACTATGTTGTCTAAAATAGTTTCCGACTTCCGGGCTCAAGCAGTCCTCTCGTGTCTGCTCCCTAATAGCTAGGACTACAAGAATGCACTACAGTGCCTGGCTTTATTTAGTTTTGTTGTTGTTGCTCTAATAGAATACCTGAAATTGGGTTGTTTATAAGGAAAATTGATTTAAGGTCATAGTTTTGGAGTCTAGGAAGTCCGCTAGCATCGTACCATTAGTAATATCTCCCGGCATAAAACAAAAGGAAGATAGGACCTTCCATAGCCTGCTTTGGGTAGTGACTGATCAGTCCTGCGGAGGAGAAGTCTCTCCTGTAAGGAAGCCATTAACTTAATCCCAGGAGGCCCCGCCTCTCAACACTGGCCCATTGAAGAATTATAATTCCAACATGTGAATAAATGGAGGACACCCAGAAACCACAGCAGGCAGAAAGACAGAAAGAGTGTGTTTACAGAGGGTGTTTGTCCCAGATGGACCACTGAGCAGTGTCCAGGGACTGCAGTGTCCAGCGTGCTGCAGGCTTCTGTGCTACAATCCTGCTCTGTCTCTGTCCTCCTCATTGCCTTCCACGGTTAGTACTCTTTCCCTCTCTCCTTTGGGGTCTCCTCCAGCCTTTTCTGGGTATACCACTTGGCCTCAATCACACACTAAGGCGTTGGGTATACACAGCCTTCACTTCTGTTCCTGGCTCTCGTGCTCTCCTGTGTCTCCAAGCTCCAGTCTTGCTAGGATTTTCTGACCTCCCTCCTGATTCCATGTCCCAGGAGTTTGCTGTTCCGGGAGCACATGGAACACTAACTGTTCCTTGCACACTGTCCTACTTTTCTGCCTAGTCCCTTCAATGTATGGTCTCTCCCAGCCCAGCACCTGCCTCTACTGATGTCACATCTGCATCAGAGCCCTGCAGATCACATGACTTTGTCTTCCCAGCTCTTTGACTCCCTTGGACTTGGGCCTGGCCCTGCCAAGATTCTCTTTAGTAGCCTGGGCCTACCTCCTTCTAGGTCAGTCTCCTGTATTTTTACTCCCAAAAGACAGCTCTGCTTGACGCTCCGGTGCCTGGTAGCTGGGTCACCCTGGGCAAGCCACCAAATAAATCTCTTTATGCTCAACTTGCCTCATCCTAAAGGTAAAGACAATACTCCTTATGTTATAGGGAAGAACCCACAGAATGATTTGTGTGAAATGCTTGCACAGGCAGGGATATGGAAATGCCGCAGATCCTCTGAGAGTGGATAACTCACCTTCACTGACACGTGGGCTAGTTTTAGGTCACCTTGACACAAGCTACCCAATTGAGAAAATGTCTCTATAAGATTGGCCATAGGCAAGCCTGTAGGGCATTTTCTTTTTTTCTTTTTTTTCTTTTTTTGGTTTTTTGAGACAGGGTTTCTCTGTGGTTTTTGGAGCCTATCCTGGAATTAGCTCTTGTAGACCAGGCTGGTCTCGAACTCACAGAGATCCGCCTGCCTCTGCCTCCCAAGTGCTGGGATTAAAGGCATGCGCCACCACCGCCCGGCTCTGGGCATTTTCTTAATTAGTGATTGGTGAGGGGAGAGCCCAGCCCATTGTGGGTGGTTCCATTCCTGGGCAGGTGGTTCTGGGTTCTTTCTATAAGAAAGCAGGCTGAGCAAGCCATGAGGAGCAAGTCCGTTGGCTCTTCTCCATGGCTTCTGCATCCGCTCCTTGCTCCAGGTTTCTATCCTGCTAGTGTTCCTGTCCTGACTTCCCCTGGTGATGTACAGCAAAGAGGAAGTGTAAACCAAATGAACCCTTTCCTCTCCCACTTGGCCATAGTATTTTATCACAGCAATAATAATCCTAACTAAGACAACTGACTCCAACCTTCCGTCTCGGAGACAATCCTCAGAGAGAGGGGGACAGGGTATGATGTTAAGCACCTGCTAAGGCTTGTCACCAATGAGCTGCTGAGCCACCGGCAGCCCGACATCAGGTGAACCAGTTTTGTTACTTGCAGACAGGACCCTGACTAGTATGCTCCTCTGGCCCCACAGCTGGTTCTCTTCATCTCCATCTTTAACAATTTTAAACTCCTGAAAGCATTCTTTTCCCTTCTTTTCCCATTGTCTGCCTCACCCTCTGGATGTTTTAACTGAACGCTTTTTTACCCAAATATATCTCACTAGTTTTTTGGTTTTTTTTTTTTGTTTTAAGATTACAGAAGCACACGGAACCCAGGGCAGCAGTGTGCTTCTGTAATCTTAGCATTGCGGAGGTGGAGATGGGAGAATCTGGAGCTTTCTGGTCAGCTGGGACTGAAGAGTCAGCCATGATCAATAAGCTAGCAGCACCCCTGAAGTGAAACCTTTGTGTCAGTGGGGCAACTGGTGTGGTTGGCTGGAGCTCAGAAGAGACCGGCATCACCGAGGTGAAATCTTCAGGGAAGGGTGTCCTGAGAGCACAGAGATGGCTCTGTGCTCCAGACGTGCCACGGTTGTACCTCGCACTGGCAGCTGGACCTGGCTATATGCTAGAGTCACCCAGGTGGCACTGGTTTGGAAGGCATGAAGGGGTCATGGCAAACAACTGACGCTCGGCAATGTGAGAGGCCAGGAGAGGTCACTGGTGAAGGTGCAGCCTCAGTGGCAGTTGAAGACCCAAGACGGAAGGGGTCATGCAAAGAAGTGGAGGCTCAGCACCATGAAGAGAGCCTATGAGAGGCTATTGGCGGAGGTGCAGCCCAGTGGCAGGAGAAGACCCCTGAGTTTTGGAGATGCCAGGGCCATGGAATGAGCACCAAGAACAGCAGCAGAAGACAGGCTATGTGTGCCGTAGAGAGTGGAGCCGGAGAAGTGATCCCAGCCCTTTGGAGGAGTCCTGAAAATTGTAGTGGATCCCAGACATTGGACGGTTGGAATTCGGTTTTGCTTTGCTTTGATTTGTGACTTTATCCTGTTTTTTTTTTACCCTCTTGAAATAAGAAAGTATTTTACTAGAGCCCACAGTTGAGAGACTTTGACTTTTAAAAGATTTTGGGGCTGGAGAGATGGCTCAGAGGTTGAGAGCATTGCCTGCTCTTCCAAAGGTCCTGAGTTCAATTCCCAGCAACCACATGGTGGCTCACAACCATCTGTAATGGGGTCTGGTGCCCTCTTCTGGCGTGCAGGCATACACACAGACAGACTATTGTATACATAATAAATAAATATTTTTTTAAAAAAAGATTTTGGATTTTAAAAGAGACTGGCTATTTTAAAGGTACTGAAATTTCTATGTGTTTGAAATTGTGGAACATTCCAAGTTATTTATGTTTTTAACATGAGTTCTTGGGGATGAATAAGAAAGAAAGGGCTGTGGCGTGATAGTGTGTATTTGTGTGTCAAGTCAACAAGGGGTCAGTTGTACTGGTTGGTTTTGTGTGTTAACTTGACACAAGCTAGAGTAATCAGAGAGGAAGGATCCTCAGTTGAGGAAATACCTCCATGGGATCCAGCTGTAAGGCATTTTTTCAGTTAGTGATCAGTGTAGGAGGGCCCAGCCCATGGTGGGTGGTGCCATCCCTGGGCTGCTGGTCCTGGGTTCTAAAAGAAAGCAGGATGATCAAGCCAGGGGATGTAAGCCAGTGTAAGCAGCACCCCCTCCACGTCCTCTGCATCAGCTCCTGCCTCCAGGTTCCTGCCCTGTTTGAGTTCCTGCCCTGACTTCCTTTGGTGATGAACAGCCATGTGGAAGTGTAAACTGAATAAACCCTTTCCTCCCCAGCTTGCTTTTTGGTCGTGATGTTTGATTACAGCAGTAAAAACCCTAACTGAGACACCTTTCAAGGGCTGCACCCCTCGGGAAACCTTACTCTGGGGAGTTGTATTTGTGTTTGTGTGTGTGTGTGTGTGTTTAAGCAGGCTCTCACTATACAGTCCAGGGTGGCTTCAAACTCTTATTCCTCCTGCCTCAGCTTCTTAAGTGTTAGAGGGATTAAAGGCAAAAATCTCATGTATCACAGCTTGACTATGCTCCCTGTGTGCAAATCTCCTTGATAGGAGGTCTCTAGCTACCCGTCCCAGAGCTACCCACACTTAGGTGAGCTGTTGGTTCTTGAGTGAGCACAGAGCTCTCTTTTACCACAGAGCTCACACTGCCCACGAAGTTTACTTGAGTTTCATTTTCTGCTGTAAGTGACAAACGTCTACTGAATATGGTCCTCTTAGTCCATGCTGGACTTTTCAGTGCCTCACGAGGTATTCAAGTGCACACAACACATGAATGGGTTAACTAGGAAGGAGCATGGGAAGGTCAGGTTAATGCAGGAAGGAGGCCTGCAAGGCCCTGGAGGGTAACAGCTGCCTCAGAATGTGTGCCACAGGCTTGGTCTTGGAGTTCTCTTCTTGAATGGTGGGAAAGACCTCTTGCCTCTTCCCCGCCAACTCCAGGCCAGAGTGATGGGGCAGAGATGCAGCCTGTGTTGGCAGCTGCTCTGGAGGGCTCCGTGCTGTCCCTCCTGGAGGGATGATGAAAAGAGAACAGATCTTCTCCATCAGAAGGCACAACAAAACCATGCTAAGTCAGTAACACCAAGCCTGCCTTCTTCTGAAGGCAGTTCATCTACTGGAACTAATGAACTTCCTGCCCCCAGTGGACCCATCTAACTAAATGGTCTTCATCCAACCTCCCCTCTCTTGGATCTTCATGGTGTGTGTATGGTTTTCCTTTTTTAACCTTACATGGTGGTTATATGGTTTTCTTTGTTCACATCACAGGGTTAAAAAGGAATGCTTTTGTCCCAAGATAAGAACGGAAGAAAGCACAAATCACTTCTAATGAGCACTGTACTAGAGATTCTAGGCCAGTGCAATCAGGTGAGAAAACAAACAGATGTCTGGAGTGGAAAGCAAGCCCCAATCCTGTATGAAGACGTCCTCAAGGAATACAGAAAACAGCTATTAGCGCTAAAGAATCCAGCAATGTTTTAGGACACATAAGCTGTCAACTGTATTTCTATATAGAAGCAATGAACAATCTGGAAATGAAATTAATAATTCCACCTAGACTAGCCTAATTTCTACCAAGATTCCAGCAAGGCATTTAACAGACATAGACAACTTGTCACCGAGTCTATATGGCAAGAGCTAGAGTAGCTGACACACTCTTGAGAAAGAACAAAGTGGGAAGAGTTGCTCCACCCACAAGGCTTACTGCTTAGCTACAGTTATCAAGGCTGTATGGTGTTTGAAGAAGGAGGCTCAGAGATCAAAGGGGCAGAATAATAAACCCACAATAACTATGTTCAACAGACTGACAAAGGTATAAAAGCTATTCAGTGGGGGGCGGGGGGACAGCCCTTCAAATGGCACTGCAGCTCTTAGATATTCTTGGGCAAAATATAAGTCTAAACCTAGGATGTGGCTGGCTCAGGTAGAGACTGCTTAGCACGCCCCGGGGTTGATCCTTAGACCACAGAAGGTGTGGAGGGTGACAGAGATAACCGAATCTCACAACTCAACCTTAAATACACTTAAAGTTTGATCACTTAAATACAGAACACAAAATATAAAATGCAGGGAAGGAAGAAGCAGAGCCTCCGAGACAAGGGCTAGGAAGAGATGAAGTTCTTATGCAATATCAAATGCAGTGTGAGAATCAAAGCATTGTCTCACCGAGCAGCAGGTAACAAGGGTTGCTAAGTGAGGCTCAGGTGTCTAGGAGGACAACAGCAGGCTGTGGCTGGGAGTCTTGCTTGATCCAGGTGTATAATATGCACAAATACTGTCACCATAGACCACTTGGTCTAAATCTCATGAGCATCCCTCAGAAGCCATGCAAAACACATATTGGGCAAGCAAATACTAGTCAAATCCAATGAAAGGCAAATCCAGGTCAGGCAGCACAGACAAGAACTGGCTTATAATCAGTCCTTTCTCGTGAAGTCTCTGCTCACTCTCTCAAGCTCCTTGCTCAGAACCAAGAGGACAGGTAGAGCCCAGGCTCTAGAGTCTTACTGCTGAGCAGCAGTTCCGAGAGAAGACTCAGCTCCACTGCCGTCACCCCTGTGCTTCTCTGCGAGCATAGTCTCTGCTATCTGGAAGACTTGCAGGTTTGGAAGACTGGAGACCAGGTCCTTTTGGCAATGGCCATCTTCACCGGAAACCCCCTACAAATATTAAGCCTGGTGCCAGGTTACACAAACCTCATGAACAGCACGGTGAAGGAAACTCTTGCCATCAGTGAGTGAAACGGCTGGGAGCTTTCTTCACAGGCTAACCCAGTCTGCCTTTCACACGCTCAGTCCAGGAGCCCTGATGCCTTCACTCTACCCTCCGTTAGCCCGTTAACCACCAGGACCAGTGAGAACACCTCAGAAGGCACATCTGACCGCTTCTGTCCACCATCGCCCACAGTCCCCCATGTTTTTGTCTGCCATCACCCCCAGTACCCCCCCCCCCCCCGCTTCTGTCCACCATCGCCCAAAGTCTAGATTCTTGCTCTATTCCCACCTGCTCCTCTAATTCCATCTGCAGTCTCCAGCCTGAGGAGGGCCTTAAACCAGTCAAATCAGTACCCCCAGCTTAGAATCTAAAGTTCTTGCTCTGGCATAGGTCCTGTTCTCCAATCCTTTCTCCATCTACTCTTCCTCTTTCCCTTTCTTCCTGGCTCCTCTGAAGGCCATTCTTGCTCCTTCCTCTGATCATTTCACCAAGAGTGTTGCCCTGCCCAAAGGCTGACTGCTGGTTACTCAGGTCTTGACTCAGAGTAGAAGACTCTTCCTACTCCACATCCCCTATCTCCAGAGACACCTGCCGTAGAACTACTATCCTGGGCCTAATGACATGCAGTTAGATTGCAGTTACATTGGTCCTTCAGAGCTGCTTTGACTTGGGCCTTGGATAGCCAGACCCTTATCAACTTGTATTGATCTGTCTTTATATGGAACCTTTCCAGGGCCACCTCTGGTTGAGTACACAGCAGAGACCATCCCTGGGGCTATCAGTCAGATGCGGCCTACCAAGTGTACTCCAAGTAGCTCTCAGAACAGGTGTTTACACAAAGATGTCTGGCAGCGTCCACTCGAACGTTCCTGTCCAACGGCCTTCATGGGTGCTCATGTGGTATTCCCTCCTCCAACAGAGGCTCCCAAGAAGTATGGTTTTGCCTGCCTCGCACCTGGTTGTAAAGTCAGCATATAGGAAGTGTTGAACATTTTGCATCCAATTTTCACAATGCCCTGGAAAAGCTGTTTGTCTATTCATTGGTTCTCTGCCACCCCACTTCCCCACTACATAGTGAAGAAAGGGTCAGCTTACAGAACCTCTTCGTAAGGGCCTACAGTCCAAGGCAGCTCATCTAACTCCATGGCCCACATCCCTTCCACTACACCAGAAGGATGGGAAGAAGACAGCTAGAAAGTTGATCCTATATTGAAAGATGAAGGTGGATGTTCTGGATGTGGTAATCAGACTGCAAATCATTAAAGACATGCGCCATCCCTCACAGACTCAATTGTTAATACAAACTCTTACACATGGGCTCATGAGTAGAGAACTGCTTTGTCCCTTTGAGCTGGAGACACAAGCGGGTGGTCAAAATTGACTAAAGAACAAAACTGTCCCGTTGTGCTCTTTTTTGTGCTCCTTATACATATATTATATGGTCACAACAAATGAATTCTGTATAATCTCAGCAATTTGATCCCTATGTCAAATCAATTATTTTTTATTAACTTTTAATTTTTTAATTTATTGTTTTTGTTAAGCAATATATTTTCCTCTGCTTCCTTCCTTTCTTCTCCCCTCCCCTCCTACCGTCTCCCATGTTCCCCATGTTCCCAATTTACTCAGGAGATCTTGTGTTTTTCTACTTCCCATGTAGATTAGATCTATGTATGTCTCTCTTAGGGTCCTCATTGTTGTCTAGGTTCTCTGGGATTGTGAATTGTAGGCTGCTCTTTTTTTTTGCTGTATGTTTAAAAAGTTATTTATGAGTGAGTACATATGATATTTGTCTTTCTGGGTCTGGGTTACCTCACTCAATATGATGTTTTCTAGCTCCATCCATTTGCCTGCAAATTTCAATGTCTATTTTTCTCTGCTGTGTAGCATTCCATTGTGTAAATGTACCACATTTTTCTTATCCATTCTTTGGTTGAGGGGCATGAACATAGTTGCACACATGTCCTTGTGGTACAATTGAGCATCCTTTGGATATATACCCAAAAGTGGTATTGCTGGGTCTTGAGGTAGGTTGTTTCCTAATTTTCTGAGAAATTGCCATACTGAAATCTAAAGGGGCTGTACCAGTTTGGATTCCCACCAGCAATGGAAGGGTGTTCCCTTTACCCCCACATCCTCTCCGGCATAAGTTGTCATCAGTGTTTTTGATCTTGGCTATTCTTACAGGTGTAAGATGGAATCTCAGAGTTGTTTTGATTTGCATTTCTCTGATGACTAAGGATGCTGAGCATTTCCTTAAGTGTCATTCAGCCATTTTAGATTCCTCTGTTGAGAGTTCTCTGTTTAGGTCTGTTACCCATTTTTTTTTTTGGATTATCTGTCCTTTTGATTACCAATTTCTTGAGTTCTTTGTACATTTTGGAGATCAGCCCTCTGTCTGATGTGGGGTTGGTGAAGATCTTTTCCCATTCCGTAGGCTGCCGTTTTATCTTGTTGACCATGTCCTTTGCTTTACAGAAGCTTTTCAGTTTCAGGAGGTCCCATTTATTAATTGTTTCTCTCAGTGTCTGTGATACTGGGGTTATATTTAGGAAGTATACTTCCCTTTTTCTCTTCTATAAGGTTCAATGTGGTTGGTTTTATGTTGAGGTCTTTTATCCATTTGGACTTGAGTTTTGTACATAGTGATGGATACAGATCTATTTTCATTCTTCTACAGGTTGATATCCAGTAATGCCAGCACCATTTGTTGAATATGCTTTCTTTTTCCCATTTTATATTTTTTGCTTCTTTTCAAAAATCAGGTGTTTGGGGGCTGGAGAGATGGCTCAGTGGTTAAGAGCATTGCCTGCTGCTCTTCCAGAGGACCTGAGTTCAATTCCTGGCAACCACATGGTGGCTCATAACCATCTGTAATGAGGTCTGGTGCCCTCTTCTGGCCTTCAGGCATACACGCAGAAAGAATATTGTATACATAATAAATAAATATTTTTTAAAAAATCAGGTGTTTGTAGGTGTGTGGATTGATATCTGGATCTTTGATTCAGTTCCATTGGTCCTCCTGTCTGTTTTTATGCCAATACCAGGCTGTTTTCAGCACTGTAGCTTTGTAGTAGAATTTGAAGTCAGGGATTATGATGCCTCCAGAAGTTCCTTTATTGTTCACGATGGTTTTGGCTATCCTGGGTTTTATGTTTTTTCCATATGAAGTTGAGTATTGTTCTTTCGAGGTTTGTCAAGAATTTACTGGGATTTTGATGGGAATTGCATTGAATCTGTAGATTGCTTTTGATAAGATTGCCATTTTTACTATGCTAATTCTACCTACCCAAGAGCATGGGAGATCTTTCTATTTTCTGGTGTCTTCATCAACTTCTTTCTTCAAAGATTTAAAGTTCTTGTCATGCAGGTCTTTCTCTTGTTTGGTTAGAGTTACTCTGAGATACTTTATGTTATTTGTGGCTATTGGGAAGGGTGTTGTTTCTCTGATTCCTTTCCCAACCCTTTTATCATCTGTGTACAGGAGGGCTACTGATTTTTTTTTTGAGTTAATCTTGTATTCTGCTACATTATTGAAGGTATTCATGAATTGTAGAAGTTCCTTGGTAGAATTTTTGGGGTCACTTATGTAAACTATCATATCATCAGCAAATAGTGAGAGCATGACTTCTTTTCTGATTTGTACCCCCTTG